GAGAGTTTCGAGAATGAATAGTCGCTCCAACTGAAGAGCGAGATTAAAGTAGACTCTAAAAAGCGGGCTCGCGCGCGCGTGATCGATCGGTGACGATAACGAATCGTTTCGTACGTACAGCAACAACGATCTTATCGATGAAGTTTCCATTTCCGTTTGCTCTCCCGCTCGTTCTCGCGTTAGCTCGCCGAGCTTTCCCTACACTCGCGCGTTTTCTTCTTCCTTCCCTCTCTCCTTCCCTTTCTCTCTTTCTCTCCGTCCCATTTTCGCATTTTCTCTTTTCAATCCCGGCCTCGATATCCGGGCCGATGCTAAATAGCAGAAACATAATTCCGTGAGTGCGAGGAAATTGCTTTATTGCGCGGAATAATGGTCCGTATTCATGTATAACCCTCGTAAGTCTCCTCCCCGGTGCTTGCACTTTTCGGAGATTGCACGTGGCCGAACCGCCCACGCATCCTCTTTGCATCGCTTTGCGTCGCATAAATGCCGTATCGCTGCAGCAATGCATCGGGAAAGGAGGGTAGGTTGAATGGTCACGAATCGAACGTGACAGCTTCGCTATATCGGCTATTCTGACAAATGCGGAAAATCAATACTTCGCCCATAACGCACCATTCTGTCTAAGCAGTAGCGAATTTCCGATATTTACTTGAAGATACTTAAATTCTAAATATCGTCATAATGAACATTATTTTATATTATATTCAGATTATTATATTATGTCTAAAAATTTTATCGATAAATTAGCATTATTTTTTATTAGCAAATTTATTATGTGAGAAATTAAAATGCTTTCTCAATTAAATAGCGGATTTTAGAATTTTAGTAAACACATTTCAAGAATATAATTTCTAATGAATTTCAAGAATATAATTCAAGAATATTTCTAGTAAATCATTTGAGATTTATATAAGTTCGTGTAATTCTTGATTACATTACAAGGAATTCATTCATGAAATTTTCTAATTAGAATAATAATTTTTGGGGGAATCTTTGGTTCTGAATAAAAAACTCGGAATTTAGCAATTAATGACACATCAAATGAATGCATATCTATAAATTAATGTAAAATTAATATAAAATTAAATCAGCAATTATTTATTTTTCATTTATAATATTTAAACAGCCTTTCTAAATTAATAGCGGTAATAATACATTGATTTACGTGCCTTATAAGTTATATGACATTTTATCCGGCTATTGCGCCGAAAGATACATACCTGCAGACAATTTCTTTTACGCCTGGGCCCGCGGCGAGAAAAATTGTTAAGAGAAATTTTTCTGACTTTAAGTGACATTGATGTACGAGCGTAACCGAGAGAACGCCTGCAGGAATGTCAGATTCCTTTATTCCTTGCGAAAAGCACAGAAACCAACACCCCTAACCAGATAGCGCGATTCTGCAATTAAGAAGTATGAATTATTAAGTTATGCGCGAGGTTAATATAAATTTGTGCAAATTTTTGCGATAGTATAGTTAAGATTATCAGAGAGAAAAAGAGAAAAAAGAGAGGGAAAAAGAGAGAACCTTTATTAAATATTTGTAATTTTGTAAGCTCTCGATTTATCCATAATGCGATATAAGATAAGAATGATGAAATATAAATTATAAGATTTTTTAATGAACATTCTTCGTCAGGCGGTCAGGAATCTGGCAATCATTTCTTCTTTAATTGCGCACTAATTAGCTCAGCATCAGTCGTAGTAATAGCCGTTTCATACATCGACAGGAGCTGCAGCCTATAATTCGATTTGTACATCGAATTCTCCGCGGCAGGTAATTAAAAGCATTGTCAGAGTGAAATACATGAACAAACCAAAAGAGTTCGCGGAGAGAAAAGACTCTTTTGTATCATGTTTAGGAACGATCGCTAATTACAAATCGCGAATGAAATCTTAATGAATCTTGAGTCACATTCAGAAATGCAATCGCGACGTATATAAACGTGACAAAATTATAACCGACAATTATAAAAATATAATTAGGAATTTGTAATTATTGGATAATAAATTCTTAATAAATTAAGTGATAAAAAAATTATATGTAATATATATAACATTGTGAATCTTCAATCTATCTATTATTATATTTTTTATTATTCATTTAAACATAATGAGGGTTTAGCAGCCATCGAGAGAAAATACTAATTTTAAGTGTAAATTTACACGCGTGACGATTTGATGATACTGAATTCCTTCATCTCGAATGCGCCTCGAATTCACGCGGAAATGCGACTTCTTATTCGCAAAGGGGATGAAAGTCGTGTCGTGTGGCGAGTGCCCGTCGACGGTTTTCTCTGAAAAGAGAGTAGAGCGGGGGTGTTGGCAAATACGTAGGACGCATTCAGATCAGTCTCCCGGCAGATCGAAAAGAGGGGAAATTCACCGAACGGGAACGACGACGGAGAAGTAGAAAAGGTTTTTCGGAGCGTGTCAGCAAGAGACATCAGAGGCCCCGCCATTTCCTCCGGTCGAATACAAATGAAATACGTGCGAATGTATCGCGCATTGTCGCTTTGTACTTCGCAGGGATCAATGCGTGAAAGAGAAAACTTTATTTTGACAAAGCGTTGAGTTCTGCGTCCCGCGCAAATAATTAATGAACTCGTGCCTCAAATAATTGCCTCTTCTTGGTGTAATTCAATTCATTATCAAGCATTATTAGTATAAAATGGCACAAGTCTTGATGTGCGAAATATATGTCAATATATTATTTTCACGCAAGCTAGATTAATTAAAATTTTTACTCTGTTGTAATATAATTAATAATCTATTAATTGACACAAGTAGTGTGTCTCTTTTCTATTCATATTTTGAATACTATTATATCTAGATTTCTTTTCCTCTTTTTACATCCTCGAAATACGAGAAGTATCAAACGTTATAAATGTAACGATCTCAAAGCAACTAGATTCTCAGAGCAACTGGAAAACCAAAATAAATATTGATATACGTCAAAAGGAACGTCGCGTGTAAATGACATTCCGAGAGGATCGCGAGATGCAGCGCGACTCGTAATATACGTGAGACGGAAAATAGCGGCAATACTCTTGAGTGCTTCGGATGGTGGCTCTGGGGGACCTAGGGACTAGGAATAAGGATTTGCTTTCGCAAAAGCGGAGAGAGAGACGGTCGTGCGAATGTTACATACGGGAATGCATATGCAGGAAACATAGCCGGTTCTAGGAGCATGAACATCGGGTATTTATTGGGGCGCTCGATACTTATTGTTAGTCGAAATCTCTTTGAAAATTATGAATATAATGTAGCGACTGAAAAAGGACACATTTTCTTCCTACATATATTACATATAGCAAATAAAAGAATTTCTTTCATTTCTAGAAATTATTTTATGCATTTGGAATATTTTTAAGAGAAGGATCTAAAATATTAAGTATTTTAAATAAAAAAATAAAATATAACAAATAAATGCCAAAATATTTGTAATTAGTACAGATATTTCAAGAATATATTTTAAGAATTACAAAGAAGTAAAATTAAATGTTAACGATATTAAGATGATTGAAAAACTAGTTAACTACACACAAAAATATTAATATTTTTTAACTTTACAATATTGACTATAAAAATAAAATTTATTACATAATTTATTATATATTAAAAATGAAGGCAAAAAATGAAAGTATTTCTTTAAAAACAGATTATTATAATGTAAAACGTTATGCTTCCACATAAAACAGGATCATCAATTGTAAAACAAAGTAGTTTAATGCTATCATGAGAAAAAAAAGAAAGACTTCTCCGAGACTGAAACGATCATGGTCGCTTATCGAACTTGAAATATCGTCAAGTCGAGGGTGCCGGGATCGCATCGACACACTGCTGGTCTTCGAGGGTCCCATAGTCCATCCCCTTCCTAGATCAATAATACCATTCCCGTGGCGACGCATGCGCTCCGCAGTATTTCTCGTTACAACCCCCATACGCGAGCTGGTTTCCACCCCCGTTGAGCCGCGTTCACGACGCTGCGTACCCCATGCAACATTCATAGCGCCATCAATATTATACGCGCGAAATAATAACTTGTGCATTTATTATGAGGGGGCTGGCTTTCCTTGCAAGGATCGATGCAAAAAAAAAGAAATGCGCTCAGATCATGATAAATATGCGTGTAAACTGTTATGCAAATCGATCGACGAATGGTGAAGGGTCGTGAGAAAAGATGGATCGGTGTGTGCAATTTGTCCAGTGATCGATCAGTGAGAAAATTAGCTAAGCAATACGTAAATAAAGGACATTTTGTATTCAATTGATCAAGAAATTATCTATTTTCTATAATAAAATGTATAATATATTCGTCTTTTATTTTTCTCATTTAATTATTTATTATACAAATGCATAAAACTTATGGAATTTTATTAAAAATTTGTAATGTGCGTTATAATATGCAGATTATCGAATGAATTATTTATTTGAATATGCATAAATTCTTATCTTTCTCAAAACAATATACTTTATACTTATATGATAATTGTTCGTTATGTATATATACTCGTACATAATAATTGTTTGTCGTATGTATTGCAGATAAATGCTAGAAAATGAATAGATAAATGAATTGTATAAATAAATTGCATAGATAACAAAATTACATCTGGCGACGTTCATAAAAATAGTAAAAGAACCGCAGGAGATTTCGATTAGAAATTTTAGTATCCTCACGATCCATATACCAGTTAATATAATGATTATAAATCGGATGAAAAGATCACGTGTCTTAGCTGTGTAAATCATACAAAGATGCATGTTAATTTGAGTTACAGCAACTTGAAATAAAAATGAGAAAAATACAGACATTCTTGCTCTGGATAATTTACAATCTTGTCTCTTATCGTAATAACGTCATTGTGCTTATCGTAGTTATAATGCTTACGAAATAGTGTGTTCGTACAAAAATCAATTTTAATTTTATCGCATTCCGTTATCGCAGCGATAACGGAAACAGCATAATAGCTCAGAAGTCAACTATGTTTCGGAGTATTGGCTTTACCGTCGTTTGATCTCGACGTTTTTCAGTTAGAACTGTCAGTATTAGAATCTCTTTGGTTACATATGAAGCAAATATAACCAATTTGCCACATGATTTTGTAGTGATTGTGATTAAGAATCTTGTTTGAAGGAAAATTGCTTCTTTTTCACCATGTTTAAACGAATACCGAAATCTCTATTAACCAAAGAAACCAAGGATTATTTATTGAGGTAATGTTTACATTCGATATATATATATATATATATATATATATATATATATATAATGAATCGATATATATATATATATATATATATATATATATATAATGAATCAACTTATATATAATTAAAATAAAAACATATATGATTAATATGTAGTGTTTCATTTTTATGAAAAATTCAATTTTTACTAACAATTTTTTTTGACAAGTTTAAAATGAAATTTTTCTCAGTCTAGATATCGAAATTAATTGTCTACCAATGTTGTTTATAAAATTTTCTTTTTTCTAAAACTGTATAAATAAATTTTATTCACAGTACTTAATTATTGTTAAAGCAAATATAAAAAAATAAAATTGTTCTGTTAATCATGATTTAATTATGTATTCATATTTCTCTCTTTCTCTTTTCCTCTCTTTCTTTCTCTTCGTAAAGAGAAGAGAAATAAATGCACTCTCTCTTTCTCTCTCTTTCTCTCTTTCGGTACTTTAAACCGTCATAAGAACGCAATTTATGGAAAATAAACTACTTTTTCAGCACTCATTTCTGGGGCCCGGTATTCAACTGGATGATACCCATAGCAACCATATCCGACACACGAAAGCATCCGAAAATCATTAGCGGCAAAATGACTGTGGGTGAGTTCGACCTAACTCTATTGGTGGACCTTTCGAAGAATTTGTTCTCCATCTCACATAATAATCATATATCGCGACAGAGCGAGAGAATACGCGGCGAACAGTGAAAGGGGAGGGAGAGGGGCAAGGAAGGGATGACGAGAGGGCCCGAGAAGGGCCCATAAAATAATTGCTGCTCGAGCGCAGCAAATATCCGTTTATTTCTTAATGAGCGACACGCCGCGAATATCTGGGATATATATCGACAAAAGCATAAAACGAGTTTGCAAATAAACTGTTACAGTGAATTGTTGTAAGCTATATTTTTAATTGTTTAAATGTGTAATACTTGCTTTCCTCGCCCTCCATAGTTTTCTCTGATTGTGAGCGTGTTTTAGGATATGATTCTTATATAAAAAAGAAGCTCTTAATTTCTATTCTTTTAATAATTAGATAATTAATTAATAATTAAATATTAATTAAATAATAAATTTTATAAATTTTATATATATATATATATATATATAATTATATTATATTTAATTTACATATATCATTTTTTTGCTTTATCTTGCAAGAGATAATAAATAGGGATTTTAATATTAATTGAACATATGTTTCTTATTTGATTTAATCTTTTTCCCAAATTTTCAGCTTTGGCCTTGTATTCTTTAGTATTCATGCGATTTGCTTGGAAAGTAAATCCGCGAAATCTATTGCTGTTCGCGTGTCACATCACTAACGCCGGAGCTCAATTTGCGCAAGGTTACAGATTTGTCAATTATCACTATATTCAACAGGAAGAGCTTGATCAAAAGAAATGATGTAGATAATTATTAGCCCTGCAAAAAAAATGATCTACGCGATTACAAATGTAAAACGGTGAAATTAATAAAATTTGTCTCTTTATGGTTTGTAGATTTCAAAATAATCATAATTAAACGTGTACATGTATATGTATAGTAAAATGACAATGATATGACGCTGATAGAGAGGCAGCGCAAAATTTTTATTTGAATAGGAAAAATTATATATAAATTTAGAACATGTTGAGGAAAATCTGATGCAACTATAGAAAACTCTCTGCACTTTTCTCATTTGTACTACGTTGTGTAAATTACATATGTATATACGCAATATATGAATAAAAAATATATATATGTATATATTTTTATTATATATATGTATATATTTTTCCGTTATCACAGTATATTATCAACTAGTAACGCTCTGATACTCGTGGCAAACTCAACAGTTTTTATTTCAACAATTTAGATTAATGCAAACAATAGCATCGCTGCATTAGATTTAACCACGGCAATTATTAAAAAACGTAAGCGCGTAAGCGTGTAATATATTGTAATAATTGCTAATACATTATAGAAAGCCAGTTCGCTCGAGGGTCTGGCGTAATGTACCTTAGCAATGTTAACACTGTTGCGTATATTCTGCTTATTAAGTTATTCCGTTATTATTCTTGTGGTAATTGTAACTAACGCAGTGTTTACGATTCAGCGATTGCGTGCTACAAGGAGACCCAAGCATGCTTTAAGTTATGTATAACGTCCTGCTTTTTGTAAAATTATGTATCTTTTCTTGATCGTAACTGCAATGATAAGATTCTACGCAGTTTTTCTAAGACGAGATATTTGATATTTATGACCACCGTTTAAATATCGTAAATGGTACAATCTTTTATAGATCGTTCATACCGCTCCTTCTTTCCATTCGTAGCATCTTTAATAAATTTGGAATCAATGCAGTTTTAATTTGACATACACTTTCTTTCACATTATATCTTGTATTTTATAAATATTTATTTTTTTTATTTTATAATCATATAAATTCACTTTCGAACAGGTAATTTTAGTAAATTTCTCAAAACCGCGTAAAAGAATCCGTCTTTTTTATATTTTTATATTCTTTAAGCTCTCTTTCCTTTCCTTTTTCTGCTTCATCTTTTTTCGTCCATCGTTACTCTTTCGATCGTATTCGAAGGGCATGAGTTTATTCGACTCGGCCGCACATTCGGCAGTACGGACGAATATATAAGAAGAGCAATAATTTTCTGGGGTAGTCTTTCTCCCTCCCTCTTTCTCTCATGTGCGATACTACAGGGGCGCGGGGCATGGCATGGCCGGCACTCGATCGTACTGGGGTCATTTTATGGGATCTGGCACGGATCAGACGCACGAATCTATCCTCCGGTATATTCCAGTTTTTCCGAATGCTAAGCCGCGCCGTCTTACTCCTCCCGATATGTTTTTCCTTCATCTCTTTCTCTCTCTTTTCGTATCTCTAGTCCTGTTCAGGGATATAAAATCCACCCTCCGACTAGCTGAATAAATATATATGGCCTTATTAGCCCTGCTTGGCGTCGATCAAGCGGCACGCCCTGCCGGCGCTTCTTTACCGCTTGCATGATGAAAATATTTCGGATGACGTCATGCGACAATTTCTCTACAGCTCATTATAATTAATAAGTCATTAAAACATTAATTTCTATCGATAGTTTACTTTTTTAGAAAAGTCGATAAAATTATAATTTAAGTTTAAATATTTAATTATATATTATATTATTATTAAGTAATATTTAATAAATATTTAATTAATATCAATATTTATGATTGTGTTATGTTTCATATAACATTTAGTCCTAAAATATCTTAATTTTCATTAACCATGTATTGCGGAATCGCTTCTTACGAGCCATTCTTGATAAGATAAATCTAATGTTTTCCATTCATGTTCTTCAGTCCTGCAGGTTTTGTCAAGCCCGCGCGGAAACAATCGCAGAATCGGACGTAGAGAGGAAGAGGAGACGTAGAGGAGACGAGGAGCGACAGGGTGAGTCCTACGGGACTGATTTCACAAACAAATGCCGCCGATTGAATCCTGGCATGTTGCAAGATGGATCGTTCTCTTTGAATCACAGATTACCGGCCTTCTCTGTCTTCTATCTCGCTTTACGTCGTATCATTCCTTCGTACGTCGTTCTCTCCTCCGTTTCGTCCTTTCCGCTGGTCATCTCGTCACTTTGTCCTTCGCGGAGGCGCCTCCACCTCCGTGATCGGTTCCCTTCCAGCAGGCAGTTCGGCAATTTGCCACATGCCTACGCAGCTGTGACCCTCTCTCTCTCTTTCGTTACTATCTCAAATCTTGCGTCAACTACAATCGAATTGGGTGGAATCGCGAAATGTGGCGGTATCAACAGATTACAAAAGACATTCGTATCGACGAGAGTCGATATGTTTAAAAAAATTAAACTTATGCGATTAATGATATATATGATATTGATATATCTGCATTATCAAATACATTTATACACATATATTAATTGAAATAGATAATTGCGAATAATTTGCAAATAATATTATTGATCGTTTACAGACATTCGATGTAATTGATTAAATAACAAGCGAATTATTGAATATGGCTATTATAAATAATAGCGAGTAGAAAGATGCATTGGAAAGACAAATGGAGCATTACTAATTCGATCGAAATCGTGCAAAAGACGGCGCTTCGGGAACATCGAGCACAATCGACGAACGTTTCCGCTGGTTTTCGGTTCAAAATAATTCGATGAAGAGGAAAAGAGCGCTGCCGCAAGCGAAATGAACTGTAAAGCGGAATGCTCAGATTGTGGAGTTGTCTTCGCGGAGTTGCATGAACTGTGACCGACGAAAAAAAAAAGAGGAAAAGAGCGAGAGAGAATCGAGGGGAACGACCCTCGCCTCTTCGAGACTTTTCGACGCTTTCTAGGACGATCTTTAAATTAAGTGCGTCAGCTTATGACGCCCATGTAAAATCCTGCAGGGTGGATTTTCGACTCGCGTGCACTAGTCGAGAGGAAGGACTTCTGAAATGCGTGGCGAATGCGCGTTGCCGGCGGGGACCCCGAGGGTGAAATGAATCAAGCCCACCCTCACCATGCAGGACATACATTAGGCTGACACTGGACTTACCATTCGGAATGCTGACGATTTCTTATGTCAGGGGACGGAAAAGAATAAAAGTAGAAAATTGAAGAAATATTTCGTAAGTAGCGGAAAGGGTTCTTTTTTTATGATGCTTATCATAATTGTTAAGTTTCAATATTTCTAATTTTCAATATTTTTAATATACATTTTAAATGCATGAATATGATGTTTCACGAATTTAACAGAGGAAATGACTTTTTCTTCAAAGAGAAATTTTAGCCTTGAATTTACTATATAATTTCGCAATAAATATTATTTCAAAATTGGTAACTTTGATCGAAAAACTTAATGGGATCTACGATTCTTCTAAAACTATTGAATCATCTAAGTGAAATGCTATTTTATATCAAAATAATGAAAAATGTATACTTCTAAATCTGTCGAATACGACTATAAAAAAGATGGAAAACATTCTGCACCAACGAGATGTACAAATTCCTGGTGGATTCATAAAAATGTACTTTAGGCACCCCTGTAAAAATAAGGAGAGTCAGGACGCGACCATAAGCGCGCCATAAGAGCGTAAAAGCGTACTATGTTAAAAAATCATGAGGGTATTATTTTGCTCATCTCATCCCCCTGAAATTACATAAATTCGATAATTTTCTTTTCCGAAGGGTATCATAACTTGTTAAGTTGTGCAAATAATTCGAATGGTGTATGCATCGTCTCTTTTTTGAATTTATACAAATACATATAATCCGAATAATTTGACAGAAAATTTCGCAAGTAATTTCGGAAAATAGGAACGAATGCTTGTCCATTTCCCGCGAATGTGTTCACAACGAATAAGAGACTAAGATTCACGGCGAACGTAAGAGTGCGAAAGGTTATGGGGTTGGGCTGACTGGTCGGCGTACTACGGCGGGATGTTTTCGTTCAAGGGGGAGGGAATGGGCCAACGTAGATGGCAACATAATCCCCGATCGAGGAGCCTGGCACATGGGAACATGGGGGACATCTTATCTTCATATTACACACCCGTCGTGGTTCTCAACCTGAATTGCCAGCAATGTGTTTTCAAAGCTTGCAAATATCCTAAAGCTGATAGGTAAAAATTATCTCGATCAATACAGCTGATAGGTAAAAATTATCTCGATCAATACAGTAGAGTACAATTATTTTAAAATTCTAATTACTTTGCATCGTTAATAAAAAAAAGTTTATTCCTAAGAGATCATTGAAAATAATTTCACGGAAAAAAAAAATTGTATTTTGGTGCGAAAATTCTGCGAAGATTTCCATTTCATATATTCTCATTCTGCAAGTAAAGTGCATTCCTTGCAGTTTCTCTGTTATATCATCTGGTACATTCTGTCACGCGAAATCGATATCTCACGAGATTAATAAATGTCGCATCGGCTCTGGAATTGAATCGATCGATGTCGTATAACATGCTCTTGGATCGCGTTACCTTAAAAGTTTCGCAGAGAGCAGTAAACAACTTTTGCTTCACACTGGGCGAGAATCACGCGTGTTACCGCGCGGAAGATCCGGAAGTAAATGGACGTGCGTGCACATACACACGCGGATACATCTACAGACTCGCATATAGAACGATTTCAGCGACTGTGAGGATGGTTTATGACCCGTAACCTTTCTATACCCCTTCGCACACTCCCCCCCCTTCCGTCGCGGATCTCTTCTATTCCGAGCAACGTGACTCCATCCCCTTGTAAATTCGATCCAATATATTAGGGTTAGCTTCGGCGAGAAGAAGCTATCGACACCGACCTACCGAATCGCCGTCTGTGCCATTTCTGTCCGCCGAATTTTCGGATTCGCTCTATAATTTGGATTCTAATAATTGATGGAAAAACTAACAGAGAAGGTGGTTAGCCTTGGAAAAAACATGCATCGCGAAAAACGATTGCATTCTTCGAATAAAACATGAGATATTTCATACATTGCTGAAGAAACAAACATACATAATATAA